TTTGGGACTTTTGTGCTCAGAGAAATGTGAATAGCACTCTTCGGATCGAGGTGACTATAACGTTTTTCACGGGAGAAGGAAATAAATCTGCGAGTGGTACATTTAATGATCTCTACCATGATGCTTGCTTAAGGCCATGGTATTTCTTTAAAACTCCTCATGTAACAGCAGAAACTGCTGCGTGGGTCCTCCTTATCACAGTAGCCCCTACTAAGCTACCATGCTTGTTAAGATGTCCAATCATTTCAAGATTTTAAAGCATTTTGAAACCTAGCACGGATATTTTATAGATGGCGTTAGTTGCTGCCATGTGTCAACAGCCGCTATGTTTGTGCAGTGTATCTAATCTGATTGTTTACCGCAGCCTCCTTACGCTCGCGACGTGACCCAATTAAATGCCGTTACGTATGGTGTTTTTGTATGAAATCTCCACGATCTAGATTAATATTATACCACCTTACTGTCTTTTTAACGTCATTTTTATGTTCACCAGACATAAGAAAATGGTATTGCATTACTATTAATTTACAAAATCAATTTTCAAAAATTGATTTTGTAAATTAATAGTAATGGATGGAAGTATTAATTGAAGTAGTAATTAGTATTTGCAGCTAGCGTTCTTGGCACCATGCCGCGTGGATTAGGTTTATTAGATAATATGTAATTTTAGATAGATTTAATCTTGTAAATATTAGATCAATAAAGGTTGTCTTCTCCATTTGAAAATAAATTGTTATAACTGCAGTAATGTTAAAGATGTGAACACTTATGCTTAAGGTTTTTGTTCCATCTTGCTGCAACGGAATAAAAAAATCTTCAACAACACTATTTTAACAACTGTACTGTTTTCAAAGTATAATGGCGACTAAGCATATTGGTTATACCTAAAATAAATTTAACAAAAAAACACAGTCATTATCTAGTAGCACTAACTATCTTTTTCTACTTCGAATCTGAGAGTCATTTTTACTATACTGCAAATAAAACATTAGGTGAGGTATAAATGTATTGTGAAAACATCCACGTGTTGTTGAGAATAATTATGTTTGCTTAAATATTTGGAAACATTAACACTTTTCGTATTATCACGTCTGTATTAAATGCGGGACTTTATACTATGTAAACTGTTGAGGTTGTTATTTCATATACTGTGTGGTAAAACATTATGGCCAAAAGTATGAGAATGTACCAAAAGTTATCATTTAAAATATCTTTCGGAGTGTCTGTTTGTATTATATTAAAATAACCGCTTTTTACTAAATGCGTATGGATGTATAGGTACACTATACAGATAAATAAAATTGCAGTGTCTGTTTGTAATATTAAAATAACCGCTTTTTACTAAATGCATACGGATAATATCATTTTTTACAATTTTGGTCTGTCTGTTTGTTCCGGCTAATCTCTGAAACGGCTGGACCGATTTGGACGGGACTTTCACTGGCAGATAGCTGATGTAATAAGGAGTAACTTAGGCTACTTATATTTTACAATTTTTTTTTATTTTAAATTCCATGCGGACGAAGTCGCGGGCACAGCTAGTCCTTAAAAAAATAAAAAAGATCTTTATAACTGCACTAAAATTTTAAAAATAGACGTCTTCCCGGCAAATTTCACACTTTTTTGCTTATTAATTACTTTTAAATTTATAGGTATATATATATTAAATAAAGAACACCCACCTTGTCTGTCGGCGGCCATTTTTTTTCTTTGAACCGATTTCAAATAATAGTTTCCAGGGAACATCTTCGGAAGTCCGAAAGTACTTAATTATGTTAGTTATTATGTAGTGTTCTTGTTTGTTTTTCATTATGGGGGTTGGCGCTTTTTATTATTTGGAATGCTTCGCAATGGATACAGTTTGGATTCGATTTCATAAAACTGTGATCTATACATACTTCTTATATCTTAGCTTTTTAGTTATGAAGCATTTTAAGAGTATCAGAAAAAAAATTACAGAAATGAAATGAATGAATTTAAAAAGTTAAGAACGCTTAGGATAAGCGCTTTTTTATTTACTACAGAGTAGAAGCAACTGAGCAATATGTTCAGCGCGAATCGTCACAGGACTTAAGTTCTTGCAGGCTTGTCGGACACTATTTAGAGGCACAAAGAGAGAACCAGAGACCTAGGTCTCAAATGTTGCACTAAATTCAAATGTTGTGCGGACTCCACCTAGGGCGATTTTTTTAATGTGAAAATTTGTCGAAAAGGCGGTCTACCTGATATTAAGTGATTACCGCCACCCATGGACACCTACAACTGGGGCATTCCAAATGCGTTGCCAAATTTTAAGGAAGTAGCCTCAGGGTACCTCACACACAACGCAACGAAACGCAAAAGTATAGTAGTTTCACTTCACACGGGTCTTCTAAAAACAAGAGCAGAAATAATGTCAGGAGGACAATGATGGGGTCGATGGAGAATATAAATAATTATGAAATGTGTCATTTTTTAATTCAGACCCTTTGAACTCTTTACATCACCTATAGTTACATGGCATACTAAGGTGTTCTACCTCCTAAACTCTGTTATTCCGGATCATGAAAACCTTTTAAACATTGATTATATTGCATTGTATGATGAGCAGATAATATATACGACATACAAATCATCAGTCTTACATTCCATTTGTAAATAAAAATTTGTGAGTATTTGTAACTATGTTAGGTCAATGATGGTGACGGTGTGTGTTGCCACAATGACGTCACTGAGTTTTCTATCTCTTTTGCAGCAGGCAACGGGACATTATACGAGTAATGCGAAAATTCGCTTCTAATCAGCGACGAGATTAATTCAGGAATGCTAGATAAGATTGCGGTGAAGTTGCTATGGGGCAGTCTATTGGACGTGCACAGTTTTCTTACAGTATTCAATCTTAGGTTTGAACAGGGGAGGTATTTAGATCGTAGTGTTGTGTACGATTGTGCTGTGGTGTCGATGACATTGCAGAGTAAATGGCCGGATTGCGTTCTTGGTTTTATTGTAAAACAGTACATCATCGCTGCTCCATTCGTAATTGTTTTTGTGTGCGTGAAATTAAGACGTGCAATTTTCTTCCTGATTCTTTTATAACTATTATATTTATGACAAAAATTTTAGTTTTATTGTAGGGTAGATTGATTTATGTCTTAATGTTTTGCACTCTTTTCTTAATTATAGCTGAATTAAAATTCGAAAGTAATAATCAAATAAATAATGCATATATACAACGAATTAAAATGTTAAACTTTCGTATTAAGTGTACATATATGGGGTATTCATTTCCAATGGTTTTTATTCAAAAAAAGGATACATTAATGTTTTATGGAATACACCGCGGCTTCGCTCGCGTTGGAGCCCTTAAATAAATATCTTTCAACCCTTTACAAAAAAGTTTGAATTAAAAAATAGGCTTTCTCAGGTTCTAGACTATCTGTGTACCTAATTTCACTTAAATCGGTTGCGTAGTTTTGGAGTGAGAGCGATACAGACAGACAGAGTTACTTTGGCATTTATAATATTACTATGCATATGGATGATTGTTATTGAATAGTAATCGGTGTAAATTGACACATTATTTTTGTCCAGAATACAACAGGCTGACAAATGATGATCTCAATCTGATCTTCACTTTAGTGTTTATACAGTCGTCCCAGATAAACCATTGATAAGTGCGCCGAAGCGTTTGTAGGCGCATTGTCTAAAGGCCAAAAAAATTAGTCTTGTACAGAATCTTTTATTAAGTGGTTATACTTGTGATGGTCGTCGATATATATGATCTAAAGACGATATTCATCATTGCTTTTTTAACTCATCTTAAAAGCCCGTCTCCCGCGAGAGTGGTAAATGAAGAAATTTATATGTCTGTCCTGGAACAAAATCTGATTTTCAACATGGATCAAAAACCAACTCAGCTGTTGCGACTTTTCTCTTCATCGTATTGAAACTGAAATCGGTATGGTTTAAGTTCCATCCAAATCAATTGTGATAGCAGTTTTATGGAATGTGTTTCATATTAAAAGCGAACAATGTCGACACCTGCACATGTGTTCGCGAGACGGATGGTCAACAACGGTTATATAGGCCAACGGGCATAGACTAAACAATTAATTGTAGCAGACACATCAATCTGTATAGTTAAATTCATGATATTTAAACAGGGGTACTCAAACTTTTTAGGTGTAGAGCCGCAGAACAAATAGATGACAAGTTTACGTAATCAATAGTAAATCGTTTGCAGTATTTAATGTGTTATGTTTATAAGTTTATTTTGAGACGGACTAATATTGGAAGGATTATGTTAGAAATATGTCTACTGTAACTGTGGTAGGGCCACGCAGCAGCCTCGGCTGTTGCACGAAAGGGCAGGCTCGTCCGGGTAAGTACCACGACCTCACAGAAGACCGGCGTAAAGTGGAACTATAATACTTTCGCGTTTCGTCTGATGAGTGAGGTAGCCGGAGCCCAATTTTCGAATGGTTGTGAACGCATCTGCAACCCTCGGGTGTAGCAGATGTCCATGGGCGGCGGTATTCACTTAACATCAGGTCAACCACCTGCTCGCTCGGCAACTTTTCACATAAAAAAACAAAATGTCTAAAAATTATAAATTTATGAAGGCTCTCCTTTTAGAGTCATCGACATAGCTCTCTGGATTAACTAATTGAAGTGGCAGTCGGCGACAGGGAATAAAAGTCAGTGACCACGAACAGGAAGACTTTACTTTTAAGACCTTTTTATTAGGCTCCATTATACAGCAGTTATATACAACAGCCTATGCAACTATTAAAAGTTTTAGAGCAATACATCTGACTGAAGTTTTTAATAAGGGTTCGATTTAAACGAAGGGAGCAACAGAGGGGAGATCTGCTATTTTTGCAGGGATGTTTTTAGTTTACAGTCAGAAACGTTGAAGGAATTACTTAGTCTGTATATTTATCTTTTTATTGCACATCGTATGTTTAGAGGTTTTCTCTCCATTTAATTGAGATTACATTTTAACCCTCATTGTGTGTACCATGGCGCGTCTATTTCTTCAAGTGCAAACTCTATGGGCCAAAACCCCAAAAACATGGTGCGTGAACCGTCTGACGCATGTGTCTGGATTACACACGGCGCAAGAATTCATCGGAGGTCGCCTCAAGGTCGCGCAGTGGCAACACACCTCCGTTTGTTTCAATTGTAAATTGAACGATTAACAAAACATCTAGACTCATTCCGACCGAATTGGCCTTACTGCCTGTAGCACTCAATGTCGATCAATTTCGACGGTTTAAGAGAATAAACCATTGAGACGATTGTTATATACATTTTAAGTTTAAACGTTATGTAAGATTCCAATTTGTAGGATGTTGAAAATGTAAACAAGTTTGTTTCCAGAGATATCAACAAATCGCTACGCGGTATACAGCATTTCATTTGTTTTAATTTGTAAGTTGTGACATTTTGTATATATTATATTGTATTGAAGATATTACATACATATTTCAGAGAGCGAAAAAATGATTTTTATAAGGATACACCATAAAATTTGTAAAAAAATTACCGAAAGGGCTCTCGCCGCTGAATCTAACTCTTTTTCCTAGGATTCGTGCCTAGACTCTTTAAACACGAAACTAAACGGCTAATTGACATACCAACGAAATTGTCGTTCATTTTTACTACAAATTTTAATGTTTCATTTTAAGCGCAGAGATATTATCACGCAAAAAATTTATATAAAATTTTGTATTCCATTAATTAAAGACTTTAAACATAAACTAAAATCGAAGAAGTAAGTAAGGAAAAGGTGCTTGTCAACGTTCCTTGGCTTGTCTTTTAATTCAATATACTCTAGAAACCTGAGTTGAAAGGGCCACGCAACAGTGTCCGCTGTTTCAAGAATGGACAGGTCCGTCCGGGTGACCTCACACGGACGACCTCACAGAAGAACGGCGTCAAGTAGAAGATGTGGTCAAGGAGGTAGCCGGGGCCCACTTTATTAAGAGGTGGCAACGCGTCTGCAACCCTGGTGTGGTGTTGCAAATGTCCATGGGCAGGCGGTTTTCACTTAACATCAGGTGAACCGCCAGCTCGTTTGCTACATTCTCACATTAAAAAAAACTCGGTGTCGGTACCAATGAAAACGTTAATTTTAAGTGCTGAATTATCATGTGCTCAGTGGTGAAGAAAAGCATCGCAAAGCAACCTGTATATTCGAAATAATAACAGAAAAAGTATTTCGAATATATTTGAAGTTCACCAATTCGCAGTCGGTCGCGGGGTGGGCTATGCCTTAATTCCCTCTGTACAAAGGAGGCCCCTTATTTTATAGGCTGTTAATTTACTTTTTTATTTTTATTTGCAGTCTTGGTATGACCAATTATTTGATGACTCCGCGGCGCAGTTGCCATGGTATTGGCGCGAGCGGTGGTGGGTTCGATGCCCACACGGGGCGAATATTTGTCTGGCTGTTAGACCAGGTGAAAATTATATTTGTAAAACGTCTTTACAACGCAGGATAATTTTATACTAATGTAAGAGTATTATTTATGAAAAAAAAACCGGCCCTATGCTAGTCGGCCTCGCGCGTGAATGGTTCCGTACCATTATCTATATAAAAACGGCAAAAAATCATGTCTGTGTTTTTTTATTATTTGTTGTTATAGTGTCAACAGAAATACACCATCTGTAAAAATTAAGGTCCTGAGTCAACACGATAAATAGGGGCAAATTTAGCTAAAATTCGCTATTTTTTGCTAAAACTTGTAACAACCTAAATTTATTTTAATTTTTAACTTTTTTATGTGTATCGATATAGAATCAATATTGAAGTTAATAAGAAATGTTTTTTTTATTTTGATTTAAATCCAGGGTACGCGGTGATAAGCTCTACCCCTCCAAAAGGCTGGAAATCACTATTCTCTCTAATAGAGTCAAATCGTAACACGATTGGTGATTTACCTTACCATCTGGTGAGTCACTTGCTCGTCTGCCGCATTGACTATAGTTTAAAAGAAGTAATCAATCTATTCATTCATGTACGCGCTTATTATAACGAACTTATATAACGAACGCACCGCGTTCCTCATTAGCTTTTTTACTGTGGTAGGGCGAAGTGACAGTCATCGCTGTTGCACGAATGGGCAGGTCCGTCCGGTGAAGTACCAGGACCTCGTAGAGCTTAAACGCACGCATGAGCACATGCGTGGCCCTACCCACAGCGGAGGGCCCAAGCCCGTGGGTTCTGGCTAGCCCACCGGTTCTGCGTCAGATGAAGCTTTAATAGTCTCGGGACTGAAAGCAAAAACATCAGTTAATACAAGATACAAGATACACCTCATAGAATACCGGCGTGAAGAGGAAGTGTTACACTTCTGCGTTTCGTTTGGTGAGTAAGGTAACCGGGGCCCACTTTATGTGGTGGTATTAAAACGCATCTGCAACACTACGGGTGTTGTAAATGTCCATGGGCGGCGGTTATCACTTAACATCAGGTGAACAACTCGCTTGCCATCTTCTTACATTTAATAAAAATTCTACAAATTTTATTTAAAATTAAATTTTGCTTTGGCCAAATGTTTATTTATTCCATCGGCCATCGTCTAGTAAAGTTTTTGATCAATTTCAAATTCTGGACACGCCTGTTTTCTCAAATTTGACAGATCGGAACAGACGAGATTAAACAATTCTCACAATAATACACAATACAATCCCCGACCCGACTGGCGTAGTGGATTGTGAAGCTGTCTCGTGCCAGAGGGTGCTGGTCCGTCCATTAATCACGTGATTTTTTAGCATTTCTTAAACCCCTCCTCCTTCTTGGTGATACGTGGTGACGTTTAGGACTACCTCCCCACCCCCCACCCAAAATCACGTGTATTTTAGTACCTACAAAGAATCTTAAAATTCTTAGAATATTATCGTTAAAGATTAAAGGACTATGATAAAAGGGTATATATATATACACATGTATCGAAATATATGTATATAATTATAGCAATCGCGCGTTTGACGAAAAAATAAATATACATGTTATCTTACTGTACCCCTCTGACCCGATTGTGACATTTCGTGATTTCTGCCGAACCCATCCCCTCCTTTCAAGGCTTATGATTAACATTCGTGATTAACAAGCGGCCCCTACGTCTCAGAGAGCGTTGCGGCCGCTCCGATCGATCGCCAGTTCGGTTCCGAAAGCGCGAACACGCGGCGGTAGTGCCGTGCGCGCGCGCCACCACTCCATTGATAAAGCTCGCGATTCCCGCTCCGGCGGCCACCAGTCGGGACCGTGCCGCCGCCCAGAGCACACGTCCCCAAGTCGCGCACCGCTGCCGCACCGCGACCACAGACCTCGGCAGGCGACGGATCAGTTCTCGCCCATCTGCGGTACCGGTGGCATGGTAACTTGTGCTCGTCTCATGGACACCTCGGCCATATAGCAAACCGCTCCTCGCTCGCCCCGACAGAACCCCCGTGCCCGACGCCCATTGTCCCGTAGAGCTAGCAATTGGTATTGTATTACGTAATGTTTTATTAAAAAGAATAAGTAACGCTCATTAGGAAATTGTTGCGGCGCGCGGAAATCCTCCGTGTGACGACGAATATTTCTATAATAATTTTTCGCTTTTATCAAAGAATAATATAAATATCCGTGCGTTTGATAAATCTCCATCTCTTTCCGTCTTCCTTTGTGATCGTTCACGTATTTAAGTCTTCGTTTAAATTTGATTATAAGAGTTGTAAAGAAAAACATCGTCACTGCAAACTCATCCGTTCGACCTTTAAAAAAAAAAGCTCCCTGATTCAGAGCAAGCCGTCAAAGTATCTCGCATCTAGATAATCTCCGGAGATGGTCAAAATATCATCGTGTTTTGCGAAAGCCCGACATTAAACAAACAACGGCGCGGCCCGTGCAATTATAGTTGTGTGGCTGATATCGGCAAATTATTTAGTAATAAACGATGTCCACATCCTTTGTAATAGGGCCAGGGTTATATGTGTTCGCCGATGTCGCTCCCTTATCACAATAGGAACAGCAGAAGGCTGGCGATTTGCGCAATCACGTCCGTCGCTAAATTCAACTGTGTGGGAATCCTCTGGCTTCCATAACGTGTGATCTTTAGTGCAACTGTACTAAAATTATCTAAATTATTTCGTTATTTGTCTAAGGCTTCTGATCTGATTGACCTTGATTAATACCAATCCAGGAATACTAATGTTACTGATGTTTTTAATATCAAATTCCATAACATACATTAAAGGTCCACTTGACGAAATTCTGACTTTTCTATTGACAATTGTTTTTTTTTTTCATTTCTTTTTCATTGAGCTTTTCATTTCCATTTCTTAAAGTTTTAAATGGAGTCGTTTACTTTTATTTTCTAAAACGGCCAATTAAAAACAAGAACGTTTAAGTTGTGTCATTTCCAATTTACAAGACAGTGATATACTATGGATATACTTATTACTCCTTGATCTATTTGCGAGAACTTGTAAATGGCTATCTCTTTTCTATTTATTTATATGTTAATGGTTGTATGTTAGCTGTAAGTTTTCCATACATAATAAAATAAAATAAAAATATTTATTGTTAAAAGAAGTTATCCTTATTTTGAATGAAATAAACTGTGTCTGCGCAGAGTGAGAACACGAGGGAAAAATTCCGGTACTACTTTCAGTATGACGTTAGGGTGTTAAATAAATTAATCCCTTCCGTGAACCTTGCATGTTTTAAGACGTTAGGGAATTAAATAATCAGGATAAAAACTAAAAAGCTGTTAAATGATTAAGTTATTGCTTAAGAAAAGTATACTATTTTATTCGGGAGTTTAAAATTACTAGACGTACGAAGGACGGATGTAAAACGGGATGTAAAAAATAAATTAATTACAGAGTCCTTCCACTAGGTTATGTTTCAAACTTTGTTGTTTTAGGCACAAACTTTGTTGAACGGTATGAACTTAGACACAACTGAAACGGCAGTAAAGAGTTTCTTAAAGTTACATCCAAGTAATTTTAATTCTGTGATAACTGCTTTTCCCATTTTTGGATATCAAAGGTATCAAAACCTGAATACGCACGTCAGTGATATTGTCGACAGGGAAAACATTTAAGTAACTTATCCTTTATAGGCTACGAGCTTTAGATATTGATGTCTAAATGCTGTAATTATCCATATATTTCCACTACCTTTAATCACGGGTAGAAATAAATTGCGCAACGTTCAAATAGTTGGAAAAAATCGAATTGCGTTAGCTCTTTATTTAAATATTTAACTAGGACACTCCAGGTTTTCAGGCTCGAATTCCTCAGTGAAATATCATTTGAACGAACTCGACTCGTGATAAAACGGAGGCACGCAAAGATCACGGAATGATATAACTGTGTTATCGTTGTTTGCCGTCTCTATTAACATGAGATTAACTCTGGAATCTATAGCACTAGATTGTGCCGTCACAGTGCCTCCACTCTGCGGGTGAATGTACAGAGGATAGAAAACGTGTTTCTAGATGTATTATAAAACGTATTAATTAATAGTTATTATAATCAGTTTAAACTGGGAGAGATTGAAGTAAAACCTAAAATTGTTTCAAGTCAGTTAACTTGTTGAGAAATTGTTTTCACTTACAACGTATATTTTATCGTTAGTACGTTCTCAATTCCTTAATTATTAAGTGGATTGGTACTAATAACTTGTTACTTTCTTATGATGACGATACGATTCTTATGACGTACCGTTGTATTTTTAATATTACTAGCAAAGTTACAGGAGAGCGTTTAATATCGCACCAATTTACATTACCGCTAACTAGTTTTCCGGCAATGTAGGCTGAGAGCAAATATGAAAACTAAACGCAGTATAATCAGAGAATATGCCGAGTGATGCGTTCTCCATTTTGCTATTCGACTTGATTACGCCTAGAGTTCCCGGGGTGTAATTTCAACGAGGAGCAAAAACACGTTCCGATCCCCGGCAAGGGGTCTTATCAGGATTGTTGCTGGCATTAAGCCGCTGAGATACGTCCGATAGCTCGATTTGCATACCCATCTGTGTTTAATTCCTGCCACCGTGTACAGCTATGTATGACGGTGATATGGCATAGCGTAGTAGGTGACACGCGAGACTCGGCTTCCCAGTTTGAATTGGCGCGAAAAGGGTCATTCGTGTTAAAACTGGTATCAAACTAACTATCTAAACTAATTATTAAACAATAAGAACGGAGCGTTTTAACATAAATAATAACCTAAAACACTTATATTCTTTAAAAACATAGTTTCAAGGTCTAATTTAGAAATTCCAGGCAAATTAAAGCATTCGTATCATTCATATTACCAAGCATTTTAATCAAAATCAATATAAAATTATTATATTCATTCCATATATATTCCAATAGAAATGGGCACATATACTAATATATATACATCTCCTCGCCGCCTATCAATAAATCGTCTGCTTCATATATACTTACTCTTCTATCCATAAGTAGTTTAAATAAACTATAAAGACTCATGACCGATTCGCATCAAACTAGACATCGAAATCTGCTAATTTTCAAAGGTTCTAATCGTAATTTGGTTTGAGCGAAAACGACCTCGCAAAATAGGCACTCGCGAATTATCTCGAACATTCCCAGGTAAGGTAATTGCTTATGTTCGGATTATGCAGGTTCTGATTTTCGTTCATATATAAAGCTAGGGTTTGTAGTAACTTAGCGCAACTTATGGGCGAATAGGGATATCCTAGATAGCGATTGCAGCTTAAAATCATGACTTCTAATCCGATTAGTGGTAAACCTTTGAACTTTCTTACTTCAGTTGGAAACCCTGCTATTGTTTGTCCCTGACATGATTTAAGACATTCCTAAGTCACTAAGTATAGCTATCGGTATGCCTTTTTAAGTATTGGAAACCAGACCTTATTGCCTGATTGTTCTATAGGCTTGTCATCCCACAGTAAATGAATTAAAAACGGACACCAGTCCTTAGAACAACGTTTTCTCTGACATTATATAAGAAAATATAGAGCAGAGCTTTTGATGGTTGAAATTTATAAAAAAAAACTTTAGTTCCATTGCCACATCATGGCTTACACTTACGTGTGTCGATAAGTAAAGTTTTATAGTAAAAAAAAATAAAGTATCAGCCTATACATGTCCCACAGCTGGGCAAAGGCCTCCTCTATATAGAGGGTATCAGGGCATAGTCCACCACGCGGCCCCTCTGCGGATTGGCGGACTTCACATATCTTCGAAATATTTTTTTGTTATTATTTCGAAAATATGCAGGTATGTATATGTATGCATCCTCACGATGTTTTCCTTTTCCTTCACCGCAGAGCGCGTGATAATAATTCGGCACTTAAAATTAACAATTTCATTGGTGCCGGCACCGGGGATCGAACTCAGGTTGCTCGAGTATATTGAATTAAAGGCGAGCGCCCGGACACTGAGCTATCACGGCTCCAGTTTTATAGACGAGAGACATACAAGAAGCATTCAGCAAAACAAACCTGTCAATAGAGTACAAAGTCTTGCGGTTCGCGGGAGATGAAACGCGCGAACATTTGCGTGCACATCGCTCTAAGCAGCCCCTTCATGATTTTGTACGCTAACTACTTCCTCGTTCGATATCAATGCTCCAACTGTGCTTGCGGGCGTTTTGCTATGATATCCGATATCCCAACAATATTGGATTTGTTCTAGTCGAATTAACTGAGAGTGGTCACTTCCCCCACATTGTCTAAGCTACCTTTTTTGTATCGAGATTTGTACATTTGGTTTGATCAACGTTATACTCGATAACAGTTAGTTTTAAGGAAGTAGAATGTCGTCCATTTTGTACAGCATTGAAATTCTGAAGTCATTTAAATTATGAAGGCAATCATTTAGCTTTATGATATAAACCTTTCTGCTTTCTCAGTTAGTAATTTTATCCCCAGTTTAATTTTAACAAAACTTTTAGTTGTTAAATACGTGCTTTCAAACTTCACATATACATATTTTAACTTCACATTAAAGCTTATTTAAAATTGAAAAGGCGAGGTTAAGTCTGTTTAATCATATATTTTCCAAAATTTTCAAATGTTTTGTAGTAACTACGGGTACCTTGTTCTACCTGTAGCGTTAGCTTTGGTAGATTGTCTTATAGTTGGATCGTTGCTGTTCCCAATTGGTCTCAAACCTACGGGGTAAATTTATCTATAGACCAAATCGCAAATACACAACTATAAGAATTGTGGACCCGTCTCCGAATTATCCCCTGTTGAGCGTGTTATTTGACGGATGGTCGCGCGTGAACTGGTCCCGTGTCATATGATATCTTCTAATTTAAATTGGATGTTGCGGTCGGCTTAGAGCGACTTACCACTATTTATGTGTAGGTAACCGCAACCTAGTAGTCT